CTTCCATGATGAGCAAAGAAACACTACACTATATATATGTACAGTAATAAGTGTTGATAATATAACGTACAGGCAACTGTTGCATGGAGGTTGCAAATATTGATCCAAGATAATTGCGGAATCTTGGAGCTGTCTAAACACGATGCATGCTAGCTTAGGGTGTTTTTCTGAGACTCCTGCATTCTTTATAAATCTATGATAGTATATACCTTTATAATGATCTTCTGAATAAATCTTTACACCAAATATATTGTAAACGTTCATATAAATGTGTCAATTGTACCAGTTGTGTTCTCTAGAGAGAGTTTCTGGTTTCATAGTCGCAGTAGCTTCAGATACCATAGCAGTCGTGTCTTTTTCCTGAGACGTTAAGAGAGTTCTTGGTTTGTTTGGTGAGGTTTGCTCGAGACTATCGTGTAGTTCATAAGAGAAAGGATGAGTATAACTCTTATTACAGCCGTCGACTTTACAGATGTAAGGTTTGTCTGAGGTATGCACATGAGAGTGTTTCTTTCGATCACTAGAGTTGGCAAAACGTCTCCCACAACCAAGGTACTCGCACATAAAAGGTTTCTCTCCAGTATGGGTTCGTTTATGAATCTTTAAATTCTCCGATCTCGCGAATAGCTTTCCACAACCTGGTTCCATGCAGGGAAACGGTCGCTCTCCTGTATGGACTCTAATATGATTAACAAGTTTATACTTTGCTTTGAAAGGCTGACCGTTTCTTTGGCAATCTTTCCAATAACATGTGTGTACATTGCTATCACTTACACTGACATGTTCATCAGAAAGATGAGTTACAAGATCTTGTAGCAACCTGAACTGTTTTTCACAAGGCTTTTTCTTGCCGTTTTCTGTTGTATTATTATTGTTTTGATCGATCCAAAGACAAGTCATAATCTCGTTGGTTTGTTGTTGTGGTATAATGGGAATATAATTCGGCGGTGGAACTAGGCCTTGATCGTAAAGATTAGGATACTGAGGTATAGCACCAGGAGGATAATAATGTGGTTGAATTATCTGACTGGACAAACCATGAATTGTTGAGGGATCGCATGTGGTTGGGTTAACTGTATATTGAGGTAAAGTGCTAGGCATATGATCTACGTACGGTTTCGTGTATGTCTGTGGAAGATAGCCCATAGTATTATTACTACGTCTTGCTCCGTTTTGATAAAAATCTTGTGGTTGGGTTGGTTCTTGCATAGGCATAAGATGGGTAGTTGTGGCAAGTAGGTCTGCATTATGCCGTTCTCTAAGATGACTTGTTGATCCATGAATTTCTCTTGCCGATGTATAAGGTGAAGTATGGTACGGTGGAAATGATTGATAATATCCTCCTGTTCGTAATGCAGTCTTGCTTTCTACCGGTGATGTACGGTGACCGTGTGGTGGTAATGTTGACATTCTGTGAGGTCTCACGGTGTTTCTAGCTCTGTTGCTAACCAGAAAACCACTGAGGGTTGATCTCTTAAACCACTTAACACTTGTACTTGCCAGCTGATTAGTAATCTAACAGATCACTGCGCTATATATAACACTTGAAAAATTCTATATTTATAGATACGAAATTATCTCACTTGCTTTTGAGCGAGTGAGGAAAGCTCTGACCGCTGATGTTGCTGCAGTAAGAACCAAGTCTTATTTTAAAGACATTTCAGTGTTTGAAGCTTGTTAATAAAGCATCTGTACTTAGTTTCTCGCCACAGCAGGGCTTTACTTTTCTATTGCAATGCGCATGTCTATTGGGCTCAATTCAATACGATATTACAATAATCTTACCCCCTCAGCGCTTTGTGCTTCATTCGCAATTGTTACACACTCGCTATTCGGCTATTTTCGGCGCTACAATGTTGACATTATACACAATAAACCGTTCTGAAACAAATTCATGTTTCGCAGTGAACTACGAAATGTTTCGATGTTCGCAACAGCGCATGCAGCCTCTTAGGCGTAGACTTAAGATACACGGAAAACTAATCTCATTTTAGAGAATATAATCTGTCTATATGGAATAAATTCATTACTCAAACTTCAAAGTCTTTGTGGACTATATAAAAACCACGGGGGCTTTAACAAAAACTGCACGCGCTTCCTCAAAAGATATGTAACTAAATAATAAACTCCAAATGTTCGATTCAGACCGGAGCATAGCGAAGCGTAAGGTGGTCAGTCAAAAAAATAGGCGGAGTGTAAATACTTGAATATTAACATCTATTAGCAGTGGAGTGTAGAAATATTTTCTACCGTGTTTGAGGTATTAATTTGGCAAATTTAGTGGCAATGATCATACTCTATTAATTAGACCAAGCGATAAGCTTTCATGTGTCAATTTTACCGGAAGTCGGGCAGTCCATTGAAATGATTAAAAGTTCATCGTTCCAACTGAGTCACGAATGTCTGCTTGTTATGCCGCCTGTAAGCGGGTTAGGGTTGTATGCGGGATGGACATTAATAACAACTTAGACCCGATCAAGAGAACAGTTTGCTTGTTTAAGTAGAAGATCCTTATCTATCATTGGCGCGAACAGATTAATTAAACAATATAAGGTGATAAGTGGAGAAAACGCCATTTTAAAAAATATAATCATCACTTTTTTTAAACGAAATGGAAAAGTCAGAAAATTACTCAAAAGCAGTACAAAACATAGCGATGTCGATGATTTTATGCCTTATGGTATTAACGTGGAAAGCTTTTATTGCTTTATGTTGAGATATCACATCTAAAAATATCCCGCAGTTTGATGACAGAGAGTTCCCGCCTTCTCGAGATATCTATTCATATTTCATAACGCAGTATGCTAGTTGATTCAACAGTATTCTTGATATTTTCACTCGGTTGTTTTAATTGTAAAGAATACGATGTGAATAAGGAACAACAGGGATTAATCCAGTAAAGTGTTTTTGCAAGACACAGATCTCTGCGCTGGCTTAGATCACGAGGGGTTGAAATAAAGGAGGGATTACGTCTAATTTGTTTTGAATTAATTACAACACTTCCCGTGAGTTCACTTTCCTGTCATGAAAAACAGCACGAGCTCACCACATGAAATCAAAATATTCTATCTTGTCAGAGATTTGCCTGTGGAATATTTTTCGAACGTGTATTTTTGAACAACAAGTAGAGCATGATTTAATTGAAGAAATAAGAAATTGAAGTATTTGCGAAGCCGGACAAAAACGTTTCATCCATTTTTAAGGCAATGCAGCATGGTCTTGGTTTTTGAGAATATAAGTGCAGTATGAAATGAGATTTTAATAATTCAAGCATATTCACAATTAATTTCACTTGAATGTTTGGCCGTTGACATATCTTCATTTTGCAAAATATTTGTTCGCAATAATAGCCCAAAAATGTTCATATTGCTAGAGAGTTCCTGGTCTCCATCCTGCACCGGTTTAGCGCACGAGAAAATTCAGTTGGTCCTCGTAGATTAGTGACCAGGCGACAGTAATTTAACACTTTTGAAATGACATGTCAACCGATTGCTTTTCGTGAATCAATCAGTTTTTACACAGGTCGAATCAAGCCGAAAATAAAATTGGGCTGATCAATCAAATAGGTTACTGATCATAGCAACTGAGACAGTGCACCTTCTTCATGAGGAAGAACTAAAATACTAAAAGAGCGCCGCCCTAGACTGCGCCGCCTTCTATTTACGAAATCCGTATTTGATGATCATTAGGATTGTTCAAGAAACTGGTACAGAACAAACAAATAGTATCCACAGTGACGCCGGAACTAGGAAGCTTTAGCAGTGACTAAAAGTGCGAAAGACTACGAGTATAATAGTACGTCATTTTCGCGCCAACCTCTGTGCTCTTGCCTCGCTGTCGTTATGCTCGACGACTACGGTTTTTGCTGATGACGTAACAACCCCTAAATCCTAATGTTTATTCGGGCCTATTTAGATTATTTATTTTGGCAATGAAAAAGAGAGGGCGTATATGACTCAATCTTTCCAAATTTCTGTCGGAGCGAAATTTTAAATATTACATTTGTACGTGTCAGTTTCACGTCCACAAGCGCCCGGATAAGAATCGTATCACGAAATCGCTGTAAATGGGGGGATGGGGGGGGGGGGGGCGATAGCAATCAAAACAGTATCACTTATTGCAATCAATCCCCTCTAATTTTAAGTCCTTACTCCAGATCTAGAATGGGGGATGGAGTACCGCATTCCCCAAAAGCTTTCTATAAGAGCAGCGTCAATTTTTATGTCACGAATTACCTTGTCCTTGATTTATTATATTCGCTCGCTCTTCACAGGAACTGATTAAGCCAAAGATCAGATATATCGATATGCTATTATTATATTATTATTATATGATATGTTTCCAGTTTGCTAAGTACTGTCCTGTCGCTGTTATATTTGTGAAAACCAGGCTCTAATGTAGTGTCTGTCCCGTGTCTATGCGACGCGAGACTGAAAGATTGTGGCTCGAAACTGAAAAAAGTTTCTACTAAAAATGATTTATTTATTACTTTAAATCACTGGACGTTTTAGCTTAACTTCGTTTTTTTTAATCTTTTTTTACCCAGTAATAATAATAATTTGACTCAATAATCATTTGACACAGTTTTGAAATATGAACTATTGTTGGGGGGGGGGTTGTAAGAGACTGGGGACTAGGGAGGAGAAATTGGGAGGAGATTATCGGGGGAGAACGAGTTGTTAAAAGGAAATAATTCGATGGCTGTGAAAAGAAATCACCCAATTTTTTGTTCAGGATTGATAAACATTGATAGAAATGTTTACGAAATCAAAGACCAGTTGAAAAGAGAACGAAAGATATATTGAGAAAATACATCGTCCCCGGGTGGGCTTGAACCACCAACCTTTCGGTTAACAGCCGAACGCGCTAACCGATTGCGCCACGGAGACAACTGGAGCATTGGCCTAAATTTTGTTTATTTAAATATAGCTAAAGTCCTAATAGAAAAAATATAATTTTTGACAGTGACACTGAGCTATATAGTACAGCCATTATAGATCATTTGATATAAAGGAAAGCAAAAAATTATCGAAGAATACATATATAATTGGTAGCAGAACCTTCCAGCCGAACTCTGAATGTTTAGAAATGGAGGTAAGTTAAGCGTCTTTCGCTTTGTAAGTGTGCTAGTGTATTTTTCTAACCTTTACAGTTAGCTGGGAATTGTTGGACAGTTCGAGGCATCATGGCCCGCCAAATAGTGGCTAATTATGAAATCTTGAACGGCTAAGATAGCCAGACATTTTAATAATTTGTCCAAAATACAAGGATTGAATTATGCATTTTAAACAACATATGGCCAATTTCGAGATTATGTCACATCTCAGAAGAAGAGAAGTAAAATATTGTAGTGGCTAGCACTATGATGATCTTGCTACAATTTACATAATTGTAGTTTTGAATTCTGTCGGGATAATTTTGATGTATTGAAATGAGCAGGAACATATTACCGAAGAGATATACAATGTCAGGAAAGACTAAGATGCCGTTTTTACAATTCGGAATTTAATATTCAACAATTACAAACTGTTGAAAATTGTTTTCGTCTTAAAATTTGGTCGACAAATGAGTCAAAATCTCTTGTAAATTTACCCAATCTTGCAAAATTACTCATCATAACTACTTTCAATACATTAAAAGTAGCACTGCTTTAACTCAAGAGAGATTCCTATGTGTTTAAGTCAAATGATTCTTGTCGTCAATGAATGAATGAAAACAACCGTCATTGTAAGCAGATGGTATAAACAAGCCGCATAGTAATAGCCTGACTATTTAGTCTGGCTGAGTGGCTGAACCAATCAATTCCTAAAGAAATGAAAATTTTTTTTGTCAAAATTATTTTTCTAAATGAAAACAACCCTAATTGCAAGCAGATGGTATAAACAAGCTGCATAGTTAGCCTGACTATTTAGCCTGGCGGTACATTAACAATCAATTCCTAACGAAATGAAAAATTGTTTGAAATTTAAAATTTAATTTGCATATAGCAGGAATATTTAAATCTTTACGCTTGGCACATAGCCTTTAATCGATCAGACCTAACCAACCCATTTCACAAAATTCTGGCAATAATTAAGTCTTCAGATATTGTACTTAGAAATTATTCAACTCTTTATGTTCTTAAAAATGTAAAAGTGAAGAAGATGGAAATACTTCTCTGTTAGTTAAGGCATAGATATCTGAGTGGCACTATTCTGTTAACACTCTATCTTTGACTAGAAAGAATATATATAACAAAAAATAGCCATACAGAGCTCCAACCTTTTACTATCATGAGGAAATATTTTCAAAAATACAAATCACATTGTGGTTTGTGAAAATATGAAATTCTCTAAATTATTTTCACATGTTTAAAAACACAATGCAGAGAAATCTTGGGAAATCCAGTGCAATAGGACTTTATTAAAATTAAATAATTTGAAATAAGAGACTGTTATTAATTAATCCTAATATTTATAATTTTGTCATGTGGTATTGGAAAGCTAGGCAAAGCAAACAATTTTTAATTTCTGCTGTTCAAAATTTAAAATGTTATAAACTGTATATTGAATAATTTGATTTCCAAACCAAAGATATGTTAATTATCAAAAATCCATATTACTTGTACTTTGGATTTGGTTCTTAAAACCTGAGAAAGTCATGCAATTCATTGCAATGCTTGAATAGGAATAATGAGGTATTTTACGTTGGAATTGTGCTGTAGCAAAGTCTTTGTGATCAAATTCACCAGATTTGTGTGAAAACCTGTGTTAAGCAACCATGGGCAGATAGAAATTAAGGCATTTATGCAGCTGCCAAATACCTGAGTGGTTGATAATGACATTAAAAAGCTGTGGTGGGGCAAACTGTATGATATATTTGCTTGAAACTTATATGGCAGGCAATTTGTAAGGCTCTTGCTACTTAATGGATTGACAGGAAAACATATACTGGTTGCAGTATTTTGTCACCTGCCTAACAAGTTACCATTTCATACTTACTGTGATATTATTACAAATCACAATTCATACCATAAAGCACAGTAACAAGACCAAATATTGGCAACCTTTGGTTGATAGAGCGGCAGTTAACAAAGTAACTAAGTAATGTTGTCACTTGTTACAGTGGATTTCACGTAAAAAAGGAGCCACCAATCTCGAAACATTGTCAACTCGACAAAAACTAGGTTGCAGTATCACACACCTGCATGGTACGTGTTATTCGCCCTGGTTCTTATTAGGTATGAAGGCTGTGAAATTAAAATTCTAATTTACAATTACCTTAAAAAATGTGCATAAAAGAAATGGAATTACTTAAAGTGCCACAGCCATATGAAATTAAGAAAATCACACTGTTTTTCACTGTTTTGTTCAGCATCTGGTTGATTGGCATCAGAATCTTAAGTAACTTTGGTTAACTGAAAGGTTTTTAATACGAAAAATAATAGAACATACAAATGCAATATTTTCTCATCATGAACATAACAATTTTGACTGGTGCGTTTGCATTTATTTGAACAGTCAAAATCCACCCCCAAAATCTTTCCCTAAGAAACTAGCCAGTGGGGGGCGCTCTGGTCAAAAAACCTTGCAGGACAATTTGGAATTTCCTAAGGATGCTAGTTGGATCCCATCAGGACAAGATTCATGAGCATTCTTAAGGATTTATCTTTGGTGTTTATCAAAAGATCTCCTTGCAATTCCTTGCATTTCAGGTGTAATCAGGAACTTTGACAAATTGGAATTGACAATGAAGGTCAATTCTCCTGTAATGATCATGCCCAAAAGCCTTGAGGCTTGTTTCTAATTCCTGCCAGGAAATTATTTTCTTTCTTTGGCAAATCCTCCAAGATTTCTATAATTCTTTATAATCCTTAGTAATATTCTTGAGAATGTTTTAAAATCCTTGAGATACATTTTGGTGATTGCTGGTATAGGGTTTAGGAAATGTGCGTTGTATTTATTTTCTTTACTTTTCTTGGCAATTGGTTATTTTAATTATTGGAAGCAAGGGTCAGGGGTGTGCAAAGCAATTAAATGTGACAACAGAGGCGAATTCCAGTTAAGTTCAGCCTCTACTTGCACGTACTGGCGGTGCGGCCGATTTGGCGCATGCTCCGTGACTCGAAACTGCTCAGAATGCCGGCCGTCGCGGCTAATTTTTTGTACGCATGTGACAGTAGAACTGTATTCTACTTTCAAGTGGAGGCCGGACTTTAGGCAGAAAAAATACACGACTTAATTTCAAGTTTGGAAACATCTTTGGTCATTGATTTGCTAGGATATGTTTAAATATAGCCAGGGAGCAGCGCGGCGAACAACTTCACCTCCAATGTGCTCGGTATAACAACTGCTGCAAAATAAACAAATGGGAGCTTTAGCAGTGACTACGAGTACGACTACGAGTACGAGATTCGTCATTCTCGCGCGTTGTTTGCTTACGCCATTGGTCATTTGTCGCCAGTCTTTTGAGTGTGAGTTTGTTTGCAATCTTCGTACTCAAAAGTTCTGCGACTACGAGTTTAGCTGATCGCGTGAGCAAATCAACCAACAAGAATGACGAATCTCGTACTCGTAGTCGCACTCGTAGTCATTGGAGAGCTTTAGATTTGACTACGGCTACGAGATTCGTCACTGTGGCGCGAAACAAACGTTGTATGCATACGCCACCTCGTACTGGCATGATAAAACTCTGCAAACACAATAATAAATGCATGTTTATCCTGTCAAATATTTCGGAAATTTTACGCCTACTATTTCGAAAAATACACATAATCAAACGTCACGGTCACGAAAAACAGTTCTCTCAAATTATTTTCTGGAAAAAACGAGAAAATGTAAACTTTCTTTGCTTTTTAAATCACGTAGTGAGGACTACGAAGTTTTCTTAAAATGCCGTAGTCAAATGAGCGACGGCTACGAGTCTATGGCGTCAATACGAAGTATCACGAATATCACGTCAATGTGACGAATCTCATAGCGCTAGCGGGAGTCGTAGTCAAATCTAAAGCTCTCTGCTAAAGCTAACTACAGAGACTACGACTGCGAATACAAGATTCGTCATTCTTGCGCGTTGTTTGCTTACGCCATCAGCCAAAACTCGTAGCACAGAATACCTAACAGAAGTGGAACTCCTGTACTTTTTTCGTAAGTGTGATCCGTCATGATTCGTCACTTAGCAAGTGCATTTTTTTGAGGTAGTCACCCCCCTGCCAATACTAAATATGGGTTGATTTTAGACATTGGCAGGGGGGTGACTACCTCAAAAAAATGCACTTGCTAAGTGACGAATCATGACGAATCACACTTACGAAAAAATAGTATAGAGTTCCACTTCTGTTAGGTATTCTGTGCTCGTAGTCTGCAAATGAAATGTTTTAAAAAATGATGCAAAACTTGCTGTTTCTCAGACTTTGTGACGATCTAAAGTGAGAAGCAATTTAACTTTCAAATGTTACATTTTTTGTTCCAACGTTTTTGTTCTGAGGCTAAATTTTTATTGGTATTTTGACGTTTTAAGTGCATTTACAATCTCGTTTTATTATCTAAAACACTTGCACCACAGAATACCTAACAGAAGTAGAACTCTATACTATTTTTTCGTAAGTGTGATTCGTCATGATTCGTCACTTAGCAAGTGCATTTTTTTGAGGTAGTCACCCCCCTGCCAATACTAAATATGGGTTGATTTTAGACATTGGCAGGGGGGTGACTACCTCAAAAAAATGCACTTGCTAAGTGACGAATCATGACGAATCACACTTACGAAAAAATAGTATAGAGTTCCACTTCTGTTAGGTATTCTGTGCTCGTAGTCTGCAAATGAAATGTTTTAAAAAATGATGCAAAACTTGCTGTTTCCCAGACTTTGTGACGATCTAAAGTGAGAAGCAATTTAACTTTCAAATGTTACATTTTTTGTTCCAACGTTTTTGTTCTGAGGCTAAATTTTTATTGGTATTTTGACGTTTTAAGTGCATTTACAATCTCGTTTTATTATCTAAAACACTTGCACCACAGAATACCTAACAGAAGTAGAACTCTATACTATTTTTTCGTAAGTGTGATTCGTCATGATTCGTCACTTAGCAAGTGCATTTTTTTGAGGTAGTCACC